AACTCCTCTGCTTGTCTGGTGGCCAGCTGTGCACCCGAAGGCAACACATCCCTGCTGAAGGCCACCCAGCTCCTTGGTGCTGGCCTTGGGATTCAAATCTGCATCCAGTGTATTTGGGGTGGCGGTGGGGGGCGGGGACACTGCTCTTAACCATTACTATTGCTCTGGCTCCCAGGGTGCAAGGGCAGGACCAGTGGTCATCCAGCTGTAACCTGTCAGGGTCAATGAGCTGTAAGCAGCAGAGATGTTGAGTCTTTGGCATCAGTAGTTTTTAGAGGGTCTTCAGGAGGGACACTATGGCCCGGACTGAGTTATCTCATTCTGTGCACCTGATAGCTGCAATGACACATCAGGGTAACAACCTCCAGAGGACACACGCACTAACCTTTCCATTAATTCCTGCCCCCATCAATGTCGCCTCTCAGGGCCTCCGTTTTCCTGTTCTGTTAAATGAGAATAATTATTCCTGTCTATAAAGCTTGCCGAGAGGGTCAGCCCAGGTGATGCCTGGCAGGTGGGTCCCCACCTAACTGGGGAATGAGCAGCTCATCTTGCCCTGAGACGGACGCAGCCAACTATAGTCTTCCTCTCCCCCTCCAGCTGTCACTCTCAGGCCAATCTGGCACCAAAGCACCCCTGGGCCGCTTCAGCAGGTGACTTCTTTGTCCTATTTAAGCATAAGTGATCTGTCCCTGTCCCTTTGGACCAAACTGTTTGTTTTCATTAACTGGAGGCCTCACTGTGCCCTTTTTGTCGCCCTGCTTCCTGGGCCCAGGAGCAACAGAACCAAGAAGCCCCAAAGCTGCCTCTGGCCAGAAAGGCCTCCCACCCGTGCTCCCTAAGTGCTGTCTTGTGCCAGCTACTTCAGCTGGAGGCTTCGGCAGCTTGATTTCAGTTCAGCAGATTACTATTGAGCAATTGCTCCAAAAAATACAGTCAGCTTGTGACTTGAATTTTCTTTTAATTTCCCATTTACTGCATAAGCCACACATTATCTATTGTTTGTGAACAGAACACCCTCCACCCACCCACCTGCCCACCAGCAGTTTGTAAATTCCTGCTCACACTGCTGCCACTGGTGTCTTATTACACTATGTCTGCTTTTCTTCATGGTGGAGAGAAATGGGGTACATGGCCTGATACAGGGACCCCTTGAAGCTCATTGGGAAAACACACAGAGAAATGAAATAACAGAGGCTAACAGCAGCTCGTGTCAAAAAAAGACCCAGGGGTTTTAATGGACTTAAGTTCAACACTTGATTTGGTCAGCAAATGTTCAGTAATTGTCTACTCTATGGCAGAAATTGTCCTAGAAAATGAGGTCACAGTCATATTAGAGGAACACTTTTATATCAGATGATTAAAATACACTATGATATCGAATAGTGAGAGAGGACACACAGGCACTCAGTTGAGCCTGGGACAAGCCCAGAAAAGGTTTCACCAAAGAGGATGTGGTTGAGCAGGGTGTGGTCTCGGAGGATGAATAGGAGTTTGGAGACATGGAAGAAGAGTGGAGATTCTAGGAAGAGGGAGCAGCAGGGATAGGGAAGCAGGCTGAGGCCTGGGAACAAGGCCTGTTCAGGGATTGACAAGACTTCCTTTCTGGGGGAGGGAGAGTGGAGCAGTGATGAGAGGTAGGCTGGTGTGTGAGGACGCTGTAACCGGGGGTGTGGGTGTGGACCAGGCTGCCCAGAGCACCGACCCGACAGATAGCAACTTTGGAAAGGTTAGAGGAAGAGGAGGAGGGAGCCGAGAGAACCAGGCCTTAGGGATGGGGTGAGGAGAGCCAGGCAAAATCTGATGTCCCAAAGCAGCAGGAAAGTTTGGACTAGAAAGTGCATGTTGGGTGGGGCAGCTAAAGAGCCGGGCACTTTGATTTCTCTATTGCTCACCTTTTCATTTAAGTCACACATTTCCACAAAACTCTTCATTTAGAGCAGTGGTTCTCAACCTGTGGGTCACGACCCCTTTGTGGGTCAAACAACTCTTTCACAGGGGTCACCTAAATACATCCTGCATATCAGATGTATATATTACGATTCATAACAGTAGCAAAATTACAGATATGAAGTAGCAAAAAAATAATTTTATGATTGGGGGTCACCACAACATGAGGAACTGTATTAAAGGGTCATAGCATTAGGAAGGTTGAGAATCACTGATAGAGTCTGCAGCAGGTCATTGGGGCGGGAATTAAGAGTTTATATACAGGCGGCGGTGATCCCAATTTCGTGATCCTCTCCATCATTGTTTGCTGCTACCATTCCCATCCACAGTGGCATCTCAGTTTTCAAATCATAAATTGGATCTTGGCACATCTCTTCCTAGAATCCTTCAGGATGAAGTCATAACCGTGCTGGGCCCCGCATGGTGTGGCTCCCACATTCCTGTTCGGCCTGGTTCCACACCCCCTTCTGGCTTTCTAGGTCTGGTCACTATGGCCTCCCCTGGGTCTTCTCAGTGGCCAGAGTCCCCACAGAGTGCTCACCCTACCCTGCTCTGACTCGTGCCCGTCCTCAGTTCCCAGCCTCATGTCACCTCCAGAGAACTGCCTTCCCGCTGCCTTTCACAGCACTCGAGTCTTCCCTCTTTCTGCAGGAAGTGGTCACACTTGTACAAGTGTTCAGTTAACTTTGTAGACATTTTTGTATCCTCCCTTCCTGTCCTGCCACCACTGCGTCCCCTGCAGATCTGTGTTGGTGCATGTTTGACCACCCAGTGGCTGGGCTTGCCCTTTCTTTTCCTCAACTCCTGGCTGGCCAGTGCCATCATCCAGGCCCATCTGTCTTCTAAAGCTCCGCTAATGCCCCCTTCTCTGGGAGCCTCCCTGAATGCCACCGGCCCCAGAGTAGCTGCCATGCAGCACAGATCAATTTGTGTCCTCAGTTAGGTTAGCTGATGTCTTTTTAGGGCTTTTAAGGCTTAACAATCTTAGAGTCTGGCAGCTGTGAAGCCCTCCTCACCTCCCGGAAATCCCTCCTTGGTAGAGTGCAGCTTTGTGTGTACGAGGTCCTCCTGGTTGCACACCTCGTGTTTTCACAGTGTGCTGGGCCCAAACATCGTGTAGCTGGCTCTGCACCTTGAGGGGCCTTGTGAGGAGCCTGGGAGAACGCGTGGCATCTGCATCCCCAGGGCCTGGCACCCGGCGGCATTCTCGGCAGGACCACCTGTCATCATTTTAGTTCTGCTCAGCCGCAACCACGGTCAATAATTCACTCTTCTGTTTGCTCAGCTTCATTGACTAAGTGCTGTGGTCAGGGGCATTGATCAACTGCTGGAAACCCTTCTGCAGCTGCTTCTGACCCACACAGGGCTCCCAGACCCAGCCAATCTTCAGATTCACAGCAGGAGCTTGTTATAAATAGATTTCTGGGCTGCACTCTGCCAGGACCACTGAACCTGACTCCCCAGGGTCAGGCCTGTGAGTCTGTGTTGTTAGCGAGTTCCCAGGTGACTCCGATGCCTTCATTGATGCCAGGACAGGCAGAACAGAGTTTGGGGACCTGTGTGGGGGATATAAAACCCAGACCTCTTGCTGTGGCATCTGGTGGTCTTTCCATCTGGCTCTGGCCCACTTTTCTATCTTCTCTTCCAAGGTGCAGCCTACCCTGCACTGAAGTTTGGCTCTCCCTGACTACCTGGTGGTGCCTGACTCTTCTAAGCACCCTGAGAGGCAATGAAGCACAGTGGACACCCAGTGGACACACTGTCCTTTTGCACGTTATTTGCTGGGTCCCCCACAGCCCTGAGCACCCAGCTGCTGCTGCCCAGCACAGTCTCCCTGCTTGGTTCAGGCTGGCTGGCACAGGCATCCACCATGAGCGCTTACTCTGCAGCTAGCAGACCTGATGCCTTCATGCCCCTCAGTATTCCCCCTTGTCCCTGGAAGCCTCCTGCTGCTTGGGGCTCAATCCTGGCTCTGTGAGAGCAGCCCCACCCTAGAGAGACTTTCCTCCTAGGAGTGTAGCAATCATTCTAGAACAGTGCTTCTCAGCCTTCCTAAGGCCGTGGCCCTTTAATACAGTTCCTATGGGTTGCAACCCACAGGTTGAGAACTGCTGTTCTAGAAGGTCATCCCTGTGCTGTGGGAAGATGCACCGTGTAACTGACAGCTTTTTAACATGTGAATGTGCCTTCCACCAGTCTCGCCCCTTTGGAAGTGATGAAGTGCGGCCAAAGCTTAGGCTTCTGAGCTAATTCAAGCCAAAACCAAGTCATCCCTCTGGAAGATTTTGTTGTTGGTTTTTCCCCCAGACTTGTTGAGTTTTAAATCTTTTCCCTATTATTTTAATTTTTCTTTTCTGCATTCCCTAAAAGCAGCCAGTGACCATACCAAATGGATTATTTCCTTTTGACTAAGTACACACATTGTATGTTCTTTGTGAGCTTTAATGACCTGAGCCATGAAAGACAGCACTGAGTCTGTCTGGAAGGTGCTTTCCTGGGCACCTACTGTGCGCTCTGCCAGAGGGGGACACACAGAAGTAACCTTTCAGAGTGATGTGCTGTTCTGATTTTCAGAGGTCATTAGTCACCCGGACCCACATGGTAATAATAGTGCCCAGTACCTTCATTTACAAAGTGTGTCCTGACCTGCGATCCTTGGCTGCCCTGCAGGGCAGGTGTGGAAGCCATTGGATGGGTAATGGAACAAACCAAGGCGGGGGGGTGTTATGGTCCTGTTGGTGTATTTTGCCCAGCAGACAGAAATCTGGGTCAGAGTGCCCACTGCACAGAGCTCCTCAGACATACTGTGAGGCTTAAGAATTTCTTCCTTCCTATTGGATGTGCTTTCAGCAGCTGGTGATATCTGGAAACGTCCGACTTCTTGGAAGGAGTTCAGCCTAGTGGGAAAGGCATTCTTGGGGAGGGGGAGGCTGCCAAGAGCACCCACTTTTCCTGGGTGTCAGCTGTTGATGGGGTTGGGTACTGCCTGAGTCTTGGGGAATGCTCCATGCTCCTTGTAACTTCCTTTCTCTCCTCTGTCTCTTTCTTAGGCACATCTCTCTAACACTGCCCGCCACCTTCCGAGGCAGAAACAGCACCCGGACGGACTATGAATACCAGCACTCCAATTTGTATGCCATATCAGGTACATGGGGCCCTGCTGCAGGCCAGCTGTGCGCCAGCATCCTGGGCACCACCTCCTCCCTCACGTTCTGTGTCTCTAGTAGGGCCTGTCTGTCTTACCTTTCCTCTTTTTTCCCTGCAAGGACCCAGCCTTCCCTTTCCTTTGTGTCATTGGGGCACTTAGAGAAGGGCCAAATACTCAATGTGTTTTGAAACTAATGATGAAAAACAATGTGTGGATTTCACAAGCTTGAAGGGAGGTTTCCAGAGAATACTCACACACTCTCACATACTCACCTTCCGGGCCCCGGGCAGGTTTCCCACAGGGCCTCAGGAGCAGCACTGAGCTGAGCCGGGTGGGCTCACCCTCCGCATCCAAGTCTGTCCTCACCTCTCATGCCTCAGCCGGGTTTGTGGCCAGAGGGTACACTGGCGGTCTGCCTCCACACCTCCACAGTGTGAGTCTGTGGTTTCTGAACTCAGCCTTGGAATTGATGGTGGTACCTTGGCAGGAACTTTCTCAGCCCTAGTTTTCCTTTTCACCTTCACCTAGGGACGGGAAAACCTAACAAGCCTTATTACTGAATTGAGATTCATTAGGTGCTTAGCAGTGCAGGTGACTTGCTAAGAGCTGAGGAAACCCACAAACTTGCCTGTGATTATACTGGCCCACCAGTCAGGGGTGTTTGTATATAAGTGGGAAGTGGCAAATCAGTGCCACTTACTAGCACACACCCTTAATGGTGAGTGACATTTTGAACATGGGAACATGGCATTCATCTGTGTACCATAATGAATCAGTTATTTAAAAGGTAATCTTTTTTCTAAAAATTGCAACTACAGGTTACTAAATAGATGAAATAGAACAATGGCATAATTCTTGTCAGTATTAGTTTTTCTCGTTATGATCACTCCCTAATAGGTTTGGAAATATAAGCAAAAGCCCCGTTGTTCCATTTCTGGGTGACACTCCTGCCAGGAAGGAGAGAAACAGGGGCCTTCTTAAGCCCCCATCCCTGGCACCACTCCAGGAGACAGGCTCCCAAAGGGGAGAGGAACATGTTTGTCTAAGAGAAGCATCTCCTGGGGAAATTTCTTTTGTGCTGTGGCTATTTCAGCAGAGGAGCATAACAGGTGTGGAAAGATGACCTATTTTGTAGAAAAGCTGAATATTTCCCCAGATGCTCAGTGGCATTGTGGTGCAAAACAGGCCTATGAAATCCAGCAGGGCGACCCTGTTCAGAATGCACACAAGGAGCTCCCCATCAAACAGATAACTGTTTTCCACAGCTTGCAAATCTTTCAGCCACAGCATTCAGCTACACCCACCTTACCTGTGTTCTCTGATGGCTTTCCCAGCTGTTGGCATTTCTGCAGAAAAGCGCCCACAGAGTGAAATCTCCTCAGGTTTGGCAGGAATGTTGCTGTCTGCCTCTGAACCGCTGCTTCCTCGCCCCGCAGCTTTGATGAGGTGTTGTCTGGGTTCATTTCAGCTGTTAGTTTAGCAATACCAAGGTAACAGCCTCAAGACACAGGGGAAGCCATTCAGAAACTTCCTGTTACATTTATGTAAGTGGTAGTGAATTGGATTTTATCTTCCAAACAGAGGCAGTTGAGGCTGCAGCACATAGCAGCAGGCAGCTCAGGCCTCCTCAGCGGCTGCAGACACCAAATTGTTCTGCCTAGGTCCAGGGCTGCTTTGTTGCAGTGCTGCCAAGAATACCCTGCAGGGCCCACTGGCTCCGTAAGGCCTGCAAGCTCAGCACTGGGCCACTATGGCACAGCTGGAAGCCTGCCCGCCTGCCCACTGGCAGCTAGCCTGTGAGCCATTCTGGCCAGAAGGGAGCAGAGACCAGCCCCTCGTCCCCGCGTGAACAGTATTTGGCACTGAGTGACCCATCTCAGTTGGGTATTGCGAAGTTAGAATTTCCAGTGGTTTGTTCCAAAAACAGTAAAGGCAAAGTGTGCCCCAGGCCCTACCCCTTGCCCAGGACCGATGCCTTGATAGCTGGGGGTTCTGCTGATAACGAAATGAATCATCAGACTATTCTGCTTCCAAACCAGCTCTGGCGAGTGCTCACTGCAGGCTTCAGGAGCTAAGCCTTTGGCACAGATTCCTGGTGTGCTCTGTGTCCGCTTTGAAGATGTTCGATTACTACTCCCCTAGTGTTTGGTCTCTTTCTCAGATAAGTGGATTTCAAAACTGTAATTAGAAATTTGGGGGGAAAAGTCACGTTTAGTGTGTGTGTATGGTTGTTAAAGTATATTTACTTTAATATTTTTTCAGCAGCATGCATGTTGATCTGTCCCCACCATGCCTGCAAAGAGACACTGCTCAGAATTGCTGGAGACACTAGGGGAGGTGCTATGTAGCTCTGTGCCTGGCACATGGGGGGCACGTGCAGTGTGGGTCGAAGGATGGAAGAGAGGCAGGGGAGTGTTTGGCCTCGGGTCTGCCTTGCACAGGAGTGCCCTCCCAGACCCGTGGGAGAGGAGTCATCCAGATTTTCCTCTCAACCACCTCCAGTGTCTGGGACCATCACCTCATCCAGCCTATTCCATCTCTGTGGAATCCTCCCTCATCAAACTGGGCTCTGTCTTCCTGCACTTTCATTTCCATCCAGTAGTTGGGGAGACTGTGTTCTGTCGTCCACAATTAGCCAGCTGTTGTCACGGCCCCGTCAGTATTTCTCTCCTGCCCTCAGATGTGGGGTGGGGATCTTCTGCTGACTCAGTGCCGAAACTCATGTCGCTCTTTTTGCCACTAATGAAAGTGGCCACAAAGCCACCCTTTCATCCTCACACTTTCTCTTCTAGGAATTTCTGCTAGAAAACACAGATGTGCAAAAAGATTTGCCTACAAGGATGGGCACTGCTGCTTTTTAAAAATGAAGCTTTAAAACAGGAGGGGAGGTGAATGCATCTTAAATGCCCTAAACAAAGGCAAATGGTTAACATTGTAAGACTTCCATGTAATGGCCATTCAAGAAATGATGATTTAAATAAAAAGATGACATGAATATTGTTAAGTGGGGGAAAAAATACAGGTGACAAACCAGAATGTGCAATGCGATCTCATTTTAGGAAATCTACCTAAAGGTCTGGGAAGGTCCATGCCGAGGTATTTACAGTGGTTTCCCCAGACTTTGCTCTTCTTTTTCTTTTTCTGGTGTCTTTGTAGGCCCTCATTTTCCTGTAATAGCATGTGTTGCTTTTGTAAGAAGAAAAAACATACAGACCTGATATGAACGTGGTGCGTTCCTGGCAGACCCTCCTGTGCTACGGGGTCACCCTGTCTTCCCTGAGTGCTTAGGACCACCTGATTTGTAACATGCTCTTGAAATTTACTGGAAATCACTTCCAGACCACAGATCAGTAATTTCTTTATTGTCCCTTTTTGAGAATAAGATTTTTTTTTCCTGTTACCTGGTCCCCCTGAAACTGCCTGCTCACTCATGTTGCTCAAAGATCACGGTCTGTGATTCCAGCCTCACCCTACTGCCCCCTGGCCCTGTAGACGTGGACAGACAGGAAAGCACCTGGCTGCTCCAGCTGCCTCCTCGCCTTCCTTGCTCTTCAAATCTCCCATCACCATGTTACTCTGTTCTATAGGGTTTTGAAGATGGCTTTTCTTAAAGAAGGGCGTGGAAGTAAAATGATGGTCCCTGGTTTGGTCTACTCTTACCCATCTGTGTTAGGGCCGGCAGACTGTCGCCAGCAGCCATAGCCCAGCCATGGCCTGCTTTTTATATGACCTGCAAGCTATGGATGATTTTAATATTTTAAAATAGCTGAAAAAATAAGAGGAATAATATTTAGGGATCTCTGAAAATTATATGAAACTCAAATTTTGGTGTCTATAAATAAAGTTTTCCTGGCACACAGCCATGCCTGTTCCTTTACAGATGATCTGTATACGGCTTTGGCACTGCAGTGGCAGCACTGAGTGTCTGCAGCCAGCACTGTGTGGCCCCCAAACTCTTGGTATTTGCTCTCTGACCCTTTACTGAAAACATTTGCCAGCACCTGGTCAGTGTTATCAGTCAGAAGCCATCGGTGCTGCTCACTCTGTTGCTCTAAACGTTTTTATTTTTTTTCAAGCATAGTTTCTAGAACCACCTTTTTTGACTGTTCTTACTTTAGTAAAAACAGTGCTTTCCTGGTCATAACTTTCCCTGGTGTTTCCTGACCTGCTTTCCTGGTCACAGCTTTCCCTGGCGTCTCCTGGCATTGTTCTTACTGGTGCAGACCCACGCACACCCCATAGTTCTGTGTTTCCTGGTCATAGCTTGCCCTGGCATCTCCTGGCACTGTTCTCACTGGTGCAGACCCACGCACACCCCATAGTTCTGTGTTTCCCCGTCACAGCTTTCCCTGGCATCTCCTGGCACTGTTCTCACTGGTGCAGACCCACGCACACCCCGCCACTCTGTGCCTTCAGTCTTAGGGGCGCGCCTTTAAGATTCTACTTCCTTGGAGAACTCTCTTCAAAACCAGGTTAATTTCTCTAGATTCTTCCCCAACCCTTACCCCTGAATTTACTGACCAAAACTCTGAGTGGCTCTTAGTTGTCTTTTTAAGAATATCTTATCTTGGCTCAGCTCATGTAGCTCAGCAGTCAGGGTGCAGGCCACATACACCGGGCCTGGTGGGTTCGAGCCCGGCCTGGGCCTACCAAACAATGACAACTACAACCAAAAAATAACCAGG